TGCAAATAGTAACTATGGAGATGAGGTAATAAAATAAAAATCAAGTTGAGAACAACAACAAAATTTTATAAAACCTCTCGCCTAGGATTGGCTATTATATTATTTCTCTGTCAATGTTCCCACCTTCATTAAAAGGCGTAAGATGACAAAAACAAGATCTTGAAGAATCTATCTGTATACTAAAACTCAGATTGTTTGTTTGTTTGCTTATTTTCTCAGTCAAAAAATCATTCACATGGTTTTTCCTTTTACTACCGATCAACAATCAAATATTTCCAAGAAGAATGTCTGTGTCTGATGTGTTTGATTTCAATATAGATTTACATATTTTGACAGTTTTTGTGATGACTTATTGTTCATTGTTGGAGTTTCCCACTACAGTGAACTTATTTTTGTTAGCTATGCTGTTACAATCTGATTTAAATACTTGTAGTAGTTTGAAGAATTACTAATGCTAGACTTGAGATGTTCTTTTATAATTATATGTTGCTTCAAATGATGTGTAATTTAACCCACATGATCTCATCCACAACAATAACAGTTTTGATGTATTATCTGTTTTGAGATCAGCTAAATTTATAATTGAGTTTTTCAAACACTGGACTTTTAAACATTTTTAGATGTAATAAATGGCATGGTGTACTTGTTTTCAAGTATACACGTACTGTACATTCATATTCTTTAATTTTGAAAAAAGACTGACATTGCTTATATGGATATAACAATATTTCAACTGGTCATAGTATGGTTATGTGTTTTCTAATCACAGACCACTTGAGAACTAAATTTAGTTTCAAACTATTATGAAACAATAAAAAAAATTTGTAGTTGTCAAAAAAAAACCCACATTTTTCATATCTAATTCTAAGAATTTATGAATGAAACAAAGTAGAATATGTTAACACATTACACTGCCATATCAAATGCTGTAAAGCCATTTACACTATTGAATTATTTATCTCAATGAACTAGCTTACATTGCTTGAAACAACAATTTGCAGGGAATCATGGTTTTGATACAATGCCATATGTTTGTGCCAGGAATATTACTATGTTTAGTTTAATTGAGTGGATCACTTTTTATATGCAAATATAACGTGTCATAGCTTTGTATAATTATTAGTTAAATTTTAAAGATTAAACATTGTTTTATGAGGAAAATATATAATCTTTCTTTTTTTACAAACTTCAGGTAATTTATTTCCTTGGACTTTGATAAATATGTAAATATGGGACGTGGGAAGAAAAGACTAAGAAATCAGGACACAAAAAAAACAGTTCAGAAACTGTTTTTGGAATCACCATTTTCAATTAAATGGTATGTACTAGAATTGTAGATTTGTCAATGTATACATTTAAAAACTACAACTTGTATTTCATTATCATTTATTTATATTTAGTTGAAATTAATTATATGAAAGAGATGCTGAATTAAGGTTAAAAATAGAAATACTGTAGTACAATCAATTTATGTAGGCATTTAATCTGTTGATAATTACTTAATACAATAAAACTCGTTAGTATGAAAATTTTCTACGCGATTAAATGAAAAAATATTAACAGCTATCACGATCAATCTGCTAAAATGTCATGAGGGAAGGAGTTCGAGGATTATCAACTAGAGATAGTTGTTAATTGCTCCTGTATGAATATCTCAGACATTTCTTTTATTTACCAAAGTAACTGAATTGTTACTCATAGGGTGTTGGATATGTTGTATATCAACTGATTCCATTTTGTGAAAAATAGTCTTAACATGTTTTAAAAATTTTTCTTGCATGTACTTTGAGTAAATAATATCACATTCTATGTGATTTTTCAAAGAATCTATATAGGTTTAAAACAAAAAAGCTCTCACTTCAAAATTAAAGTAAAATATACACACTGAAACAGGTTAGCTTTACTATTGCATGTACTATAGATTTCTTTGACAAGCTAACTGTTTTGTTAAGCCTAACTCCTGTCATTCTCATTCAACATACTGTGATGTTACACCAAGAATTTTGTTCTTGGGACTCTTCATCAAGAATGAGACATCGTTTCACCCAATAACTTTGTCTACTGTTAGAGCAAGTTCAGAAACCAGCTAAAACCTATTATCGTTTTTTTGCCTACATACTTAGGATGATTTCCAGGATGAGTTTTTTTTTCTTGTATGCTAGAATTATACCAGATATATCCTACAATAATAGATATTCCCTTTAACTCTGCTTCTTTGTACTAATGGTACTACTGCACTAAATAATTATTTATTTAATTAAATAATGCTCTAAAGAACATAGAATAATAACATGCAAAAAACACAATATGTTCCATAACTATCACAATTTTTTTGGCTTTCTAACTATGTCACAAATATCATTAGAAATTAAGCAAAGCTGATTGATATGTTTTCATGGGAGCAAAAATAAAATTGAAACCGAAACTACATATTGTCTATTCAGAAAAAAATATAGGAGAATAATAAGCTATTTCATAGGTGGAACCCTTGGTTTTCTATTGGTTATACATAATATAGAATTAAAATCAAAGAAAACTACTGGTAAGTTCTGAAAGGGAGGAGTGACAGGTGGGTGTGGCAAAAGGGGTCTGATTTTCTATTTGATAGCTCTGTAAGTAGTTAAGATTGAAGGCTGTAATTATGATGCTTTGCTTGAGCAGTGACAATATTATACTACTCCTGCAAAAGGGTTAAAAAGAGACCTAGGCATACCTATCTCAGAAACGTTGATAAGTAAGGTCATCAGACTGGTTTTGCAATAAGCAGTTGTGACAGGCACAGACTTGTTGTGTACCAAGCTATCTTCAGCAATTTTACTTTGTGCCTCGGCACTTGTTGTGAGGTTGTTTATCAAGCTTCTAGGTTAAGAGGTTGTGTGTATATTTAAATGATACATTTTCTGTTGTTAATTGTTACATGAAGTTAGTGTTCTGCATACATGTGTAGACATGTCAAGAATTACTGTTGAGAAAATGGATATAGGAAAATTTTGCAAAAACACACGTAAATTACAGGATTCCCAGTAAGATGAATCTATTTAGGAGATAGGTGGACCAAGTGAGAAGCACTGAAGAACTGATAATGAAATAGTCATACCAAAAGACCCGACAGAGGATAGACTATTAAACCAAAGAGGCAGTGTGGATACTTCTGATCAAGAACATGAAGATATATTGGGTGAACCTGCTAGCATTGGAGAATTACATGAGCTGAGTAGTAGCAGCAGTGTCAAATCAACTCTGCCTAAGCTGACTCTTGGAGTAGGTGGTCCGGCTGACATATCCCGATTGCCAGACAAGGGACTAATTCGACCTGGTCTTAAGGAGCCCATCTACTTTCCAAAAACCCATGGATGAAAATTCATACCTAAATGGTACAAAGCATATCTTTGGCTTGAATATTCTGCATTTACTGATCAAGTTTACTGTTTTTTCTGTCATCATTTTACTATAGGTTCTAAATATCAAGGTGAGCAAGTTTTTGTGTCCGAAGGGTTCATTACATGGAAAAAGTGCATGGGTAAATCTCCAAAAAACAATAAACTACTCAAACACAGCTTTCTGAAAAAAAAGTAGCCGACCGCATCAATGAAGCTCATCGGCTGATTATGGGAAAAAATAGGGAATACATCACTGATCAAAAATCACCTTAGAACCAATATGGCAGATAAGAGATTGAAGAGTCTAACAGTGATTAGCATGCACAGAGAACATTTTCTTTCCATTGATCTTGATGATGATGTTCATAGGTTTGTTACTAAGTTTCTAAATACAAGGTTAAGTTGGTTTATAGTTGAAGAGGAGGATCGTTCCAGTTGGTATCTTGATAAGTTCATGCTTTTGACTATTATTCATCAATCCACTTTTAAAGGGACTTATCCCCCCCCCCCCCAATTAAAATATGCTAGAATGGTCAAAAACCTTTTGATCCTTTCTAAGGTCTGTGAGTACTTTGGGTCTTCAAAACTTAATACAAAGTACTTTCTTAAACCCAACATTACCTCATTGTAATTTAGCATGCTAAAATTTGGGGGAATAATCAGGCCCTTTAAAATTAAATGTGAGTATAAAACGTCTTGTTTCCTCCTAAAAATTTTGGCTTGCCCCCCCCCCCCCCAAATTTTTGGTGCTGGTGCTGCTACTGTTCAAAGTGCATTTGTGATTTCAGCTCTTTTTTCCCATGGGTTTACTTAATTTTTTATTGAATATCATTTGAATAATTTTTCAGCACTGTTTTGGACTTTATTTCTTCTCTTTGAATTAGTCAGCTTTAGCTCAGATATTTGCTTCTTTTCAGACTTTGAATCTGGTTGATGCTTTTCAAACTACAGTGATTTACATTTTCTTGTTTGTCCACACATTGCCATTGTTAATTTTTTTCATTTTTAGTACCTGTAGTTTCCATTTATATATTTTTTAGCAGTCCTTGAGGTTTTCCAGGTGCCTGCAACTATACTGAGTTTTATGTTTTGTTGCCTCGTACACAAATTCTTCATCCTATTTTAGTGTAGTATGGTTTTTTCTCTTTTTGAGAGATAACAGATTTTTATATTTCTCTCTATTGTCTGTATCACATTCTCACCAAGCTTGTATTTGGTTTACATGTTTTTCTTTTTAAACTGTTGTAGATGTCATTTTAAATTTGGTTCAAGAGGTTTGTCTTATTTTAGTTTCAGTGGCACTCCTTATAACTGTGGTTTAACTTCTCAGAAATCTCAGTATGTTTGTTCTGCTTCTTTCACCAAGATGTTTGTTTAGGCCACACATGCTGAAATCCTCTCCCTCATTGTCTTATTTACAGAATTTAAGTTAATTTTTTCATTTTTTAGTACCTGTAATTTCCATTTATATATTTTTTAGCAGACCTTGAGGTTTTCCAGGTGCCTGCAACTATACTGAGTTTTATGTTTTTCAATCCCTCCTTTCTCTTGAGTTTCAATATCTTTTCCTATGGTTTTTTTCAGGGTGTGATGGAGATAAACAGGTTCTGAACTTTTCTCAGAAAGAAGCTAAATACCTTCCTGGGGTTTTATTCCTATTTTGTTTTTGTATATTGCCAAAGCAAGCACTGCTACATATAACCAATGAGCAATTTTAGAAAATGTATCTTAATGCAATATTCAGATTGTTGAAACAATAAAATATCAGCATCTTTCAAAATCTTGGTCAAATTAGACTTATCTCATAGTCACTTATCTAAAGATAGATTTGTTTTTACTAATTTCATGTAGTTGTTAATTTCTAACTTATTAATTTTGAATAATGTTGTTGTTTTTTTTTATTTGTAGTCTGTATTTTTTTTTATAGAAATTTGTGACCAATACTGATGATTTTAAGCAAAACTTTTATATTTTCTATGCACTAATATTACTTTTTGTGATATTATTTTAGGCCTAAGATACCTGTTGAAGATGAAATTATTATCATGAATGCAATAGAGAAGTAAGTTTTCATGATTGTCTTCAGTTTGTCATATTTATACTTTGACTTTGGCTTAATGCATTTAGATGGAACTATTATAGCTTTCCTATGATATTTGGATGCCTACATTTATAATATTTAGCTACATAAGTTATTTGTTATTGATAAACCCAAAAATATTTTATTGCAACGTATTTCCTTAAACTAATTACCAAAAGTGGGTTTAAGACAACTGATGAGTTGATTTTTATTTTATGTAAGAGAATAATAATTTGTTTTTCAATGTTTTTGCATGACTTATAGAAATGAATGTAAATTTTTGGAACCAAGTAAACCATTACCTTTAGATAGGTTTGTCTTATCCAGGTTCTTTGATAAACATGTTTTACTGTACTTATGTTATAAGTCAATGACTTATGATAATAATAATACAAGAAAATCAAGATTGGCTTTACTCCTTCTTTTATTCCAGAATGCAAATCATGAACAGTTTTCCCAAGATTATATGTTGTGAGTTTAAAAAATAAAAGCATCATAAAGTAGTTGTGGTTATATGATATTGTAATATGTTTACTGAAATTAATCATTAGCACTTTTGACATACAAAAACAAAACTTAAAATCTTGAATTGCAAAGATTTATTGGAGCTTAGTGATATACTTTGTCCTGCACAGTTCAATTAGGCTTAACAAGAGTGTTATTTTTGGTTTACCTGTAGTTTATCTTATGGGTAAATTGATAATTTACATTATATCCACTATTTAATTTTCGTAATTCTTAATATTTTTTACTTCTTACAATTAATTTAGTTTGTGAGGACCCCTGGGGGCTGGAGTCTGCCCTACTTTCTCCCAATATTATTTGCCTTTTTCCTACAACTGCTGAATCCATTTAGGATGACCCAGATTTTGTCAGTTTTCCTCCACCTGATTATGGCTTTCCTTCCCAAGTCTTTACTTTGGAATCTACTAGGCTTTCAGTATACTTTTCCATTCTTGTCCAGACATTATGTTTCATGATGAGCATTTTTGTCTCTTTTGTGAGAGGATACTTGGATGCCTCACCCTCCAAAGGCTTTAGTTTAGTTTGCCTTAGCTTACCATAGGGCAGATTTGCTTCTTGATTCTATGTACTTAGAATCTCTGTTGCCTGTATGGGGGGCAGTCTCTGTTAATCCTATTCATTTTAACCTTTACCTAGTTTTACAGCTTTGTCTTACCCTTTCAACTTTTACCGAAAATGTCTACCTTACGCTTCCTTTCTTAAACATTGCAGCTATAGCTAGGTGATTTTCTTGGGATACCTCTTCCTCCTTCCTTCCATGTTGGGGTGTTTGCCATCTTCAATTCTTTCCCTCTACACATGGCTTCTTTGCTTTTGGGATCTTGTGAGGTGGGACACTGTCTTTTACCATTTGTTTACCATCCATTTCTAATGAGTACTTATGCTCGGCTCTCTTTCTCCACCAGTCCATTTTTTGGGGCTACTCATGTGGATTTAACATCACATGGGGTACCTGCAATACTATATTATACATTTTTTGGTTTCTCTTTTGTTTCATTCTGAGTCATTGTCCTCTTTATTCATTTTCCATGTCTGGTACCGTCTTGTCCTTTACCTGTCCTACCTACGAGTTTCTCCATTTGATGTGTATGCTCGATGTTGGTTGGAATTCTGCTTCTAGCTGTCCCTCTTCAATCACTTTTTGGTTCTTCCCCTTTTTTAATGTGCAGTCTTTGATCACATTAGGATGGGAAATTTCAGCAGGACTGAGAATGCCCATGGTACGCGTTCTAATTTTTCATTTCTGAGGATGATATCTTAGTTTTTTCACCACATGGTTAGGTACCAGTTTCATGCCTTGTCATTTAGACTTGCAGATCCATATGTCTTTTGTCCAGTGGTCTGAATTTTATCCATCTTCCTCATTTTGGGGGATTTTACTAACACCTCTACTTTGATGTTTTGGGGTGGTCATAACATACTCATCTGCTTCTTACACAAGTAGCTCGGGTGGTTGGATTTTCCAGTTAGATGTTTTTCCTGTTACCTACCTAACAATCTCGGCTCTTTGGGGAGTGTCTTTCTAAATACCCACCTCCATCGGGACCATCCATTCTCCTCCTCAAATATATTTGATGGAGCTTTCTGTTATCCACCCCATTATGGTTCACTATCTTACTGCTAGTGAGGTTCTAATGCATTGGGGAATGTGGCTTCTGTGGAAACACTTCTTCCTTTGGGTTTGGCACACTTGCAATCTTTTCTGGAGTTGCTGTACGACCCATGGTCTCTTGCTAGGATTCCTTTGGATTCTCCTCTTAACCTTTTTCCTTCCCTCTTTGAGTATATGCATTGGTGGTTGAACATATCCCCCACATTGTTGGGTTTATTGATTCTTTCCCTATGTCTGGATTTGTTTCTCTTCCCTGAGGCTCATGTCCAAAGTTGGAGGGTGTGTGGATCAATCAGCAGGAGTCTTCAGGACAATAGTCTACAGATGAAAGGTCTTTCGTGTTAACACACTGGCACTTCTGGCAGTCCAACATGTTTTTGTTCACTTTCTTCCTCTTGTTCAGATTTGGCTAATCATGTTTCATTCCAACTATTTGATGGTTGTGGTGTATTTCACTCACCAAGGGGGCACTCGTTCTTGTTCTCTTTGTGGTAGACAGTGAATCTCCCTCTTTGAACCCACACACTTGACATAAGTTTCCTGCCTGTCGTGTTCCAGGTGCCTTTGTCCTTGTTGCAGATTGCGTTTCCAGTCTTGACACACTTTTTACCTTCTGTGGGGTACATCTCCATGGAAAATTTTTGACTCATTCCCCATTCCAAGTTACCTCTTTTGTTTTTGGTCTCTGGTTCATCATCCACTCCCTCTGACACTCATTACATTCAGACAGGATTAGATCCAGTTCATAACTTTAATTTTTCTCTTCCATCAGTCTTCTTCCCAAGGTGATTTTGATCATCCATGTCACTCTGGGTCAGATTTTTCTAATTGATCCTTCCTGGCCAGCACAGATCTGGTTTTCTTGGCTGTTTGAGCACGATATGTTCTTATTGTTCTGTATCAATTTTACCTACACTTTGGGGGCTCATGTGAAATATTCTTTTCATCATTTAGTTGCTTGCCATCTTTCACCTTTATTCTTGGTTGGATCCCGATGCTCTGGGTTGTTTCATTGTTTTCAAGGCTTCTTTCCATTGACTCCATTTCCCACAGTTTCATTACATTCTTGGTTGCTCCACTTATTCCTCTTGTGCTACCCCTCAATGTCTTTATGCCAAGGATGTTACTGCATTTGAGATGGTTCTGGTGTGTTTCATTTGAGTTTGATGTATATATATGTTATTTCACTCACATGTGCTCTGTTCATAGATCGGTGGTGGAATTTCTCCCTCTGATTGGCTGAACTTGAGGTAAAGATGGTATGATCCTCTTTCCTACCCCCACATGGATGTCAGTTCACAGTGGTTGAGTTTTGGATTGTAATTGACTTATCAAGGATATGATCCTTGTTCTACCCCCACATGGATATTGGTTCCCGGCAGTTGAGTTTTGGATGTAGTTGACTTGCCATGTACAGTCTATCATGTCCTAGCCACTCTACACCTTGGGACACATACTTTATTTTACCCACATTCTGTTCATCAGGGAGATTTAAATTATAATATCTTGTGGTTAGGATCACTGTCCAACCATTTTCTGTCCCATTGGGATGTGCTCCTCATGATTTTCTGCCTGGATCTGTTACACCTTTTCCACATCTGTGCAAAGAGTATACCTGGTACAGAAGTGGTGTGGTCTCCCACATATAATACTCTTATTAGAGGATCTTTTCATTATGGTGTCAATCGCATGCTTTTGAAGGATACTTCTATTTTCTCCTTTGCACTGGTCTCTCCACATATTCAATGTGGGATTATAGCTGTGTATGTGAATAGAAGTAAGGTATCTCATCGGAAGTTACAATTTTCCTGCACTGAAAATGAGTTTCTGACAGATACTTACTTCTGATCACACTTTCCACCCTTCCTCCCCACTTTCAATGGGTGCTTACGTTTCTGCCCAAACTCAAAGCAGAATAGCATAGAGGGAGTCATGTGGGGGTGTGGCACTAAAATATTCTTAGCAGATCTCTAGCTACAAAAGGAGGTGTAGATGGGGAATTGCAGAGTGTGTATGAAAAACAACTAAGGTGAGAGACTATACTCTCAAATCCTGGAAACTATTTCAAGACCAAATGAACATAATATTGTGGAATTTGGAATGTTTCTAAGCTGATAAGTATATATCCATTTATGTGATTAGCTGTACGTGTATGTGTTTCAAGAAAAGAAATATGTGAGTCAACATGATGGCAATCCAAATTTGATGGAAAGCTAGTGACCTATCATTCTACCTTCAGTTTATATATCAGTTGTTGCTGAAATCATGATGTCTTAAAGCATTCTTTCTAGCTTTTTGATGAGCCTTACAAATCCATACCTTACGCACAGGAGTATGGTTGCTGTCATTTGTCTGATCTTCTTGTTAATTATTATAAACATGTGATACCCTGTCCAGAATTTTGTCCTGTTAACTCTAGGTGCATGGGTGGAGCTCAAAATGCACATGCCACATTCTTTTACTGGTTTATTATTATTTTTTAATGTGGCTTAGACTGAAAATTGTTATGTTTATTCTTCAAACAGATAAAAAAACAATTTGCATTGTTTATAATCTTACATTATTGTTAGAATTTGTTTGAACATAAGCATTTAATGAAAACTGTATTCTGTTGTATATCATTAAATTTTTTGAACTATTTTATTGAGAAACGTCTTTGTTTTCCTGTTTTTTATACCTACTAGAAGAATATGTTAGTTCAAACTGTTTTTTCATTTTGCATTTTTTCAAGACACAGTTGTACAATTTTTTACAACAAATATAAAAACAAAATAGTGAACCATATATATATATATAATGTTTATCCTAATGAAACTTTTGTCTGACAGAAAATACTATCTTTTACATTTTAGTTTTTAACTTATTAGGCACATAGAGGGATAAAAACTTTGAAATAATTGAAATTTTTTTACACTTATTCCACTCTGTCATATTTAGCCCAATGTCTGTACAGACATTGGTTATTATTTATTTTAATTCTTAAGATTTACTTGAATGAGGTTAGTGTTAGTGTTATAAATTTAAGTTCAAACATTCTGCTGTTAGTTTTTTCAAAGAATACTATAGTGGATTCATTTACAAACATGTGGGAAGTATGTATATAACTTTGCAAATCTTGAAAACCAATTTTGTTACTTATTCAACAAATCTGTCTTCCTTTTCATGTTGTTTTACACCACAGAGCAGAAACTTATATTTTCAACATTGTGCTTTTGTACTGAGTAATTACTTTAAATAATACCAATATTTTCATGGTTTAGTTTTTCAGTAGTTGGAATAATGTTAATATTTTCTGTGTTGACAGTTGGAGATTTCTTTAAATACTAATTTTTATGTTTCTCTTCATGTATATTTCTGCATTACTTGAAAAGCTCTATCTATATAGTATCCCATGTAATTTACTCAATAGAGGAATATTCCTTGTGCTATGCTTTCTGCTATGTTTTATATCTCAGTTTCTTGTAGCATTCACTTGATTGTAATGTAAATAAAATTATAGACAAATTAAATCTGGTAATAAAAGATGCTTGAACCTGCAGTGTAGTCAAGATAAAAATTACAAAGCTATTAATTCTGAATAATTATCATGCACTTGCACCAGAAAAATGCATTTTACTATATATTCAACTTACTATAAACCAAGTTAGAATAGGTAATTAAGGAAAGTGCAGGAAAACAGTTTTTTATCCTTGAAAAAGACATATATTTTTTAAATATTTTTCAGAGTAATTTCAGAACACCCAGAAGTCAAACTTATAGATAAACCTGCCCAAGGTTCCAGAATTGTAGTGACTGACCCTGGAAGGTCCATGAGGTAAATTGCAGTAGAAGCTACTGTAACTATTAAATATATATATATATATATATATATATATAGTAATACAACGTAGTAGAAGT